CCCATCTGGTGACCCAAGCTTCAAAGCAGTGCTTCACTTTTAGCGCGGGTTGGCCCCCACCTCCCTTTCCTACCTCCATGGCAGTTTCTAAGGGGAAAAAATTTCCACAGTTCTTTCAACTCCCTTTCTTTATAGAAAAGAAAACTGAGATGTAAGGGCAATAAATGCTTTCAGTTATCGTTTGACAGGATTGTTGGAACTTGTTAAGGGGGGGTAGTCCTAAAGCATTTGTAAAAGATGGGGGTTTACTTGCCTGAAAACTGTTATTTTCTTACTTTACATAAATGTGTTCCATGTTACTTAAAAAGGTGAACGATTGCTTGCACATTTTCCGCCCATCAAAGCGATAACCAATTTCAATCCACCTATGTTATAAATGAGCAAAAGGTTAATGTACTGCCGCAACAACTCACTTCTGAATTTCTTATTGCTTAAACTTATCTGTAACACTTATCCGTAATCTTTTATTTGTCTGTAATCTTTATTTATCCGTTATCCTTATTAATTTTACTTATCCAAGAGAGTTTCATCATAATTTGCCAGCAATATATCTGAAAATGCTCCATTTCAATACAGTTAATTGTTATTAGTGTTGTAGAGTGTTGTACCGTAACTGGGGAGGAACTGAATGCAATATTATGGATAGATATTCTGATCATCAGGATTCTCGTAAGACGTTTGCACACATGGATTAAAAAAATTGGCCCTTTAATCACACTTGATTGAGCAATAATTAAAGAATACATATAATTTAGCTTAGAAGTTTTCCCAAAAAAAGCATTTTTAAAAAATAATATCGGCAATGTACACTTTTTTAAACTCGAAAACATTTATAAAACAATGAAAAATGTTTGTTTGAATTTATAAAAATATTTATAATAGGGGAAAAATTGCATTTTAATAATTTATTTCTATTTCTCTCCAGATTTACTTTCTTCAAATTACGTATAATTGCACTATGATGTAGCTTTTTTCTAATATATCCGATTCTTTGGAGAGGATACTTAAATTACTTAGGAATAATCACAAATAATTTTTAATGCGTTCCAGAGTCGAAAATGATTTTCCCCCGCTTCAACAGGTGTAAGACTTAAACATTAAAATGACTCAGTTGCTGCTGCACTGGGAAAAGTGCATTGGATTTGCGATTAATTCATTGATTTTTCTAATACCTTTAGTTTTTGATAGCTTCTCATTGGTAAATGAATTTATACGTTTAAAACATTCCTCAGCTAATTATTTTTTTAAATCAGTTTTTAAGGTATTTTCTCCCTCCTTCCAGCATCTCTTCGTGGTGAAAAGGTGGTGCACTTCGGGCGCTATGGAGAGGTCCAGTTTGAGTCCCGGAGAGGGCATTGCACATTTCTCACGTCTCTTGTTTCGAAATAACCTAATGACTCTAGAAATGGCGTTCGAACTAAAAGGGGTGGCCTATAATTCGCCACCAAAAGAATTTGGCGGCTGGATCCCATAGTTCCCAGTCGCCTTTTAAAAAGGACAGTATATAAGGTATTTCTCCCTCCTTCCAGCATGCCTTCGTGGTGTAAAGGTAGCACACTCGGTGCGTATTTGAGAGTTCCAGGTTCGAGTTTCGGAGACGGCACTGCGCAATTTTCAAGTGTACTTTAAAAAAAAAAAGCCTTAATGTCTCTACAAGTTGAATATTCGTTATGAAAGAAAATGTTCTCAATGTTGAAGTCCTTTTGCATGGATCTTGAACTGTTCGATCTGCTTACATCCAAAATTTTTCATCACGATTCTCTTTTTCCCACAATTCCGACATGCTCATTCCTGAATATAAATACTTTGGTATAATAAAATGTCAGTGATAAAGCTGAAAATGAAATGGCATGTATTTTAAAAATTACTGCATAAATACATTATCAAAACATTTTAATAAATTATTATTAAATATAATGATAATTTATTTTGTGAATATTCTTTTTATTTAGAAAGGCAGTCAAGCTTTCGCTAAGCCTAAAATATCATTCAAAATATTTTTAATCATTGACTTGGTTATCTGTATAAAAAGTCCTGATAATAACATTTTTGATTTTCTCCAGTGCGCTCTTCACAATGTGTATGTACAGCCGTTTTTGTTATAAATAATTTGTATTACCATTGTTTTATTGTTGCAAATTTTATGCGCATTATTATCTTTCATTATTGTGCCCAGTTCATTGTTTAATTAGCTAATATAATTGCACTTAACTGGTTTTTATGAAATTTTACTGCTACGTTTTGTAGGAAGCAGTAAACGCAGCACATATTTGTCAAGATTTTACATCTGACAAAATTAATTCCTGCAACAATGCTTGGACATTGTAATTGCGTTTACTCGACAAAGGCTTCCTTGAAGAAAATCATTATCATGTTTACCTGTAGTGCCCACTATAAACTATTTTGAAAGTTTTGAAAATAATTTGATCTGCATAAGCTTCAGAATGAACTGGTAGGCGTGGGAAAGGTTCGGCATTCAACAGTTACAAACATAAAACTTTTCTTTGTTTATTTTAATTTTTATAAAGTATTTTATTCATAACCATGAGAGTGTGTGACGGATTAAAAATAAACATTCGCTAAATGTGTAGCTGATAGCAGCTAGTTACGAACACTATGTTAAATGAATTCAGTCTCTGAAAATCATTTTCTGCCCAGATATTTTTTAATGTTGTCAGACTGTAGATAAGAGATTGTTAAAATATTTTAATAATGGACAGCATTATTTGCCTTCGGCAGTAATACAATTTGTGGAGTACTTTCTATGGCAATTAATTTACTTTTATTCAAGGGCGTAGTTAGAGGGGGGCAAGGGGGGCATCTGTCCCCGGGCGCAGAATCCAAGGGGCGCCAAACTGATGTTACGACATTGTAGAATTAAATGTTTTCCATCCTTGGCAAGCAGTAAGGGGCGCGAAATCTTCAGTTGTCCCTGAGCGCTGAATACCCTAGCTAAGACTCTGCTTTTATTTTACACACAAGCTCGCCATGAAAGGAAAATAAAATAGTACATCCTAAAGTAGATCAGAGGCGAGAAAAAATAAAAATCAACCTGTCCTAAAATGAATCAGATTAAACTTCCTGTTATAAGGTTTAGTTTAGCTAGTACATTACTTTTATGTTAATTCTTTTCTATACTGCATGTTTTTCCAACGGCTTTCACCAGAATTCAAATTAGTTTCCGTTTAAATAAATAGGGAGCGAAGTTGTAATTTAGAAACACAGAAGGCAGTAGCGTGTTAATCTGAGAAGAGCCTCTAACCTAACCGGCTTGGAGATAGGCGAGGGAATTTTATATCTGTTAAAGGTTAGGAATTAAGATCGCATCTGCTGAAGACGAATTAAAAAATCTGAATTTAGATTGTGTACTCGGTCAATTTAAGCATTTGAGTTCTTGAAGTGTTCACACTACGTTAACGATATCTTTACCCTGTTTGATAGGAATAAAGATGATTTAAACAAAATTCTTTCAATAATGAATTACATTGATCCTGCTCTTCAGTTCACTTTTGCAACTGAAACATCCAGTTTCCTTCGTTCCTCGATACATTGGTCACACGCAACATATGCAAATTCAATACTACAGCTATTATTTGCCTTCCACCACACTTTATTTATTTGCCTTCCACGACACTTCAAATCATATCATTCGACTAAATAGCAGTTAGCTTTCTTTTATTCCTTCGTTTCTCGAGCACTTCAGGTTTGCTCCTCGGAATTGGCTCTTGATTAAGAATTGAATTTCTTAAAAGCAATTACTATTGACAGACGCTTTCCACTTAACATTATTAAGCAAGCGATTAAGAAGTTCTTATGTCAACACATCAAAAAGCACTCTCTCGTTTTAGGATATTATAAGAATTCTGTTGTCATTCCTTTTTTTTTCTTTTTTTCTATTGATTGGTTCTAAAACTAAACGTATTTTACAGAAATTCAGGCCATTTTCTCTTTTGTCAATAAAATTCGCTGTTCCATACTTAAGGACCCTATTCCGGCTATAAACGTGTATATTATTATATACAGGATTCCTTGACAATGTGGTTTAATTTACATTGATCAAACTAAGAGAGCTTTAAAATTTGTTGCTTAGGAACATGAGGCACATGTTGGGAAAAACGAAGCACGTAAATCCTCTGTCATCCAGTCAGAAAATCGCATGTTCCATTTTTCTGCAGCCAAAATTATTCAGAAAGCATCTTCTGTTGGCGAATTAGATTTTCTAGAGGTGTTTGATAAAAATATTTCAGATCTAGTTAACGATCCTAGTTCCAGTACGTCTTTACCCTCAACTTTTAAGGAAATTATTTCATATTTCTTTTCCTTTTCCGTAAATAGATGGCTCTAGTATCTTGACTTCATTCCTCTCATTCTCATCGCTTGAGCACATGAACTCTAGCCAAAGAACGTCTGTATACATATTCAGTGTTTATGTACGTCTACAATACATATTCTTTGCTCTGGCTGCTGTTTCATCTGCACTTCTGCAGCTGAAGAAGTAGGTTCTGCATTTAAACCTTCGAAACTAGTCCTGCAAATTCATGAATATCATGCTGATTCTTGTTGCTTTAGCTTCTATAATAACTAGATATAAATTACAAGATAAAAGCGGATAAAGAATACTAGATGAAAATTGAATAAATTTGTTCATGGAATTATCAAAAAAATAAACATTCCTGAAAATGATTAGATGTTAATATTGAATACCACTGACATTTTTCTTGAAAACAAAAATTATTCAGCGTAAGGAAGTTGATTTGTACAGTACTTCAGCGTAAGGAAGTTGATTTGTACAGTACTTTTAAACAGAATCATTTTTATGCCACTCCTCAGAAACTAATTTTATTGAATTAAAACCAGTATATGCATAACATAGTTGCTTCTTCCAATGGCATAAAATTAATGCTTGGTATCATATTATTTATGTGATTTTCTAACATCTATAATTTATTCAACGATTTTTCATTCGGCATTTGTATTTTATCCATGTTTGTGCTAACTAGCTTCCAAGGGAAGTTGAGCCATGGAGTTCGAAAGATGAATTGAACCAAAGGAAAAAAATCCACTGTCCCCAGTTTTCAAGCGATATTGGAGAAAAAGTACTTGGCCAAGAAAATTGCCTTTTTTTGGATATATACAGTAATAAGGTACCTTTTTCTTCTTTTTAAATCTTTGCTATTTTGTTTTATGGACACCATAAAAAGAGTTATTTTTTTAAAATTTCAAAATCTTCCTATACTTTGTGCCGAAATTGTTTTTTAAAACTCTGTATCTTATTTTGAGAAACTTTGTACTGTAAATCAAACGTATAATGTTTAAGGAAATATAGCCTTTAATAGCTTTTGTCAAACACCCTATGCGTTTTGAGATATTTATTAATAATTATTTTAGTGAATTAATGAATGAAACTGTATTTAATGAATACAGTTATGAAGTCCAATGACTGTTTGATGCTTCTATACAGCTTTATTACAAATTATTCTGATAACAGCTCTTCATAAAAAAAGCTGCTTTTCAAAATTTATCATCATCAGATATTGAATTTTTGTATTTAATATTTAGGTAATGTAAAAAAATAACGTTTTTCTAAACTATCGTTTATAATTTACAGGCAGAGAAACTCGAATCCTGTTGCTTTCCAGTTTTGGTGTATTTTCATGGTGGGAAATTTTCTAGAGGCAGTAAAGAAGAATATGGCAGCGATTTTCTCTTGAAATATAATAAATTTATACTTGTGATGCCTAATTACAGGTTGGGAATTTTAGGCAAGTACACTTAAACATATTACGTTTGGAAAATAACTTTTAAGTTAACGCCTCTAACTTCCAAAACAAAAACTAACATCTAAAAATTGGTACTGCAAGTTTTAACTTTAAAAAAAAACTTAACTTTTAACCAACGGCAGTTAAAGATCGTCTGGATAGGTGGAATGAAGTTTGAAAGATGAGAGTAAGTATTTCTGAAATATTGGTTGAAATTCTATACCCACAGTTGTTTAGAATACCTGGATGGGCTATTTATGGGGTTTTCTTGTCTCAAATGAATGGAACTTTGAAACCCCTCAAGTACAGTAACTGAATCGTCCATCGAATACGTGAAAGATAAATGAACAGCCATTGATGACAGAAATTATATTAACCAAATTTGCAAATTAAATAGGTTCGTAATTATATACGAGGATAAAATTAACATTATTAAAAAACGCCTCAGTAGCTGACATTTTCGAAAAAATTTCCCCCAGATACTCTGTGATAATCGTTGCTGACCTGAAGTATCATTGGGCTTGGGATTGGATCCCGGGATGGCTTAGTTGTTTGTAAGTATGGGAGTAGCCAGGATCTGAGACAGCGGGTGGTGTTGAAAGCGTTTTAGAAGAATAAAACTAGAAACTTTTAGAAGAATAAATTAGTTTTGGACACGAATATGCCCCCCTGGCCAATTGAAAAGATAGTTGAGTATTAATAGTCTGCCCAAAATTTCGAATGCTGTGAAACTGGCAGGCTGAAAGTGATTTTTGAGGATTTTTTTTTCTTATGCAACGTAAATACGGGCTAGTTTCCATTAGAAAATCCTTCATGAAGACGTACCTCTGAGCAGGTACCCTTCGCTTGCTTTTCCGCATTCGAATAAATGACTAAATCAATAATAGATTCGAAAACAACAATAAGCAGATTGCTGAAGTTTGGCAGCAAGGAATAACGAGACACCTAATTAAAAAAAAAAAAAAAAAAAAAAAAATTAGTCTTTAACTTATTTAACAAGCCATCCTGTCTCAGTGTTATTTTGATTATTCTTTCCTCAGTTAGCTTTCTATGCACATTCAACATACATAGTCATTCAAGCCATCCTGTCTCACTGTTGAGCACAACCACATTTTTATTGTACTTAAAGTATTAAATACGTATCCAGTTGTATTCGTAGTAAATGGTTGAGATAAAGAAATTAGATAAGAATGTTTTATTTGCTGGATCAAAGTCATCGCTTCTTTTGTAGAGACATTAGGTAATTTTTTGAAGCAGAAGAGATGAAAAATATGTAACCGCCTTCGCCAGGAATCAAACCACGGACCTCTGGAGTACCGGCCCAGCGTGCTACCGTTACACCACGAAGGCACGCTAGGGAAGTGGGAGAAATACCTTATACTTTTACCAAATTTTCCAAAGTTAACTATGTTGTCGAGTTTTACATTTTTCTCAATAGCTCTTAAAACTGTCCAAAAGTTCTATAGCCCTACCAAAAATTTTCAAACCATATAAATCACAAAAACACTGGAAAATATTGCCCCCCCCCCAGTGATGATATTAAAGATTCCAGATAAAAAGTCATTAGAGATCTTTGTTATTAAGTTTAGCTATTAGACGTTTTCAAACCAAAATTACTCATGAACCAGTTGCACGTGTTTTGCTAAACTCTTTGTCTGACATCTTTAACATAATGACAGCGAGTAATAACAGTAAAGAAAAATCTGATAAATTGTCGCTGAAAAATGTTTCTCCTATAGACGATAATAAAGACTCCAGATAAGAAGTAATCAGGAATATTTTCTAAAACTCCCCAATTGTAGATGTTGGAAAATTTAGAAGATGTTGAACTCTTACAAACCTCAGTATTTGCAATTCAAAGCAAATGATTTGGGTTATAGTAATGGCGGGCCATAATGCTATGGCTAAACATCTCTTGCTTTACTATGTTACAATGTTATATTACGAGCATTAAAAATATCTTTATGTAATCCTCACATTAGATTATATACAGATTTCTTGATTGCAAATTATTAGCCGCAGGTAATATAAGCTTGATACAGATAATATTTATATAACACTCACGGCTGAAGAATCTGAAGTGCAAAAACCCGAAGATAACGTCTTATCCCTTAAGCCCAGAAATGTACCACATGAGGGAGCTCGAAGGAAGGAGAGACAATGTAAAGAGTGATGTGCATGAAATGCCAATCCCCATATATATATATATATATATATATATATGTGGGGGTGAATTAGTTTATATTATATATATATAATAGCTGATGGAAAATTATGTAAAAAGGACTTTTAAAACTTAAATTTTTCCGTTATAATTTTAACACCAATTTCAATTAACAATGTCATATTTTTAACTTTAGAAGTGAAATTTATGTAAAAAAAATTATTTTTGCCTGTTTAGTTATAATTTTAACTTAACCAATATTTAAATATATTATAGAGACACATATATATATGTTAACAAAATCTAAAAATAAAAAATTCAAAAGAAAAAGGATTATACTGTTCTGAAATTTTTTTTATAAATTGAATTTAGAAAGAAAACATAGAAAGCTATTAAATTTTAGAACTGAGTAAGATGCAAATTGAAACGTAAAAATATATTGAAAAATATTTTAGATATATTTAAGTTTGAAAATTATAAAAATACAAATTAACTATTCGTATTTTAATGTTTCAAATAAATTCGTCAAGGGGTAATAATTTGAAACATTAAAATCCAAGCAATTCAGGATTACTGAACTCATGTTTCGTTCCATTTCACCTTCTGGGCACATGTTGATATTCTATTAAAATACATTTGATTTATATGTATCTTGAAAATAATAAAACGTATCGTGATATTTCCAACTGATAGCAGAAACGTTTTGGAAACGATGTAATGAAAATATAAAGAACTGAAACACACTTCTCTATCAGTATCATAAATATATATGTATCAGTATCATAAAAATATATGTGGTTCTGATATTGAAAATTTTTCAGTGGCTACTCAAACTCAAATGAATGGTGATTATCGCAGCGCTGATTAGAAAATTTAATGAACTAGGAAGGAATTTTTCAGTTTTAAGGGAACTTAAATTATTGAAATAGAGAAATGGAAATTTTACAGAACTTTTACATTTAAATTTTTGAAGAAGGAGTTATTTCAACATTTAGTAATCTCATGTAAAGAAAAAACTAACTAACCGAAGTTAGTACTGAAATGATCATGTTATACACCTATTATTATTATTATTCATATATCATTATACTTATATCTGTTTGTTCTCGTATAGTTAGCTGGCTACATAAATGTAAATAAAGCCGGAGTTTGTTCTTGCATAGGTAACTGGATATACAAATGTAAATAAACAGAGGTCTGAGAATCACAGAAAGATACCGATACACTGAAAATAAAAATATAAAACTTACGAAATTTTGATTTTACATGTTATGAGCATCTCATAAAAGCAAAGCCCACTAGGGCTACCTTCTTATGTAAAGTTGTGCCTACGGGGATGCTCTTCTAAAGGAAACACTCGTATTCATGTTAAAAGTGAGAAGAATCAGAAAAGCATCTATACAGACAAACCATCTCCTCGGATTAGAAACCAGGTCCATCCAACTATAGTTTTGTTTTACCCAACTTGGCTACTGTAGGACCTAAGAAAATAAAATACACTCTTGCGCAAAATCAAGAGAATTTGTACGTTATGTCAAATTTCTGAAAAACGGATGGATAGATTTGGTAGAACAATGCAATAGATTTGGTATGAACATATATTTGTAACAAAGAAAGAGATGTACCATTCAAAAGCCATTTTATCTCAAGCCCTTAACCCTACAAAGCATGATTATCAGTATAGCTTATAATGCCATGGGTGTCCAAAATTTAAGTTGTGATATCGAATCGAAAATGAGTTTAATATGAGGTATGATCCCCTCTCACTGCCAGACAGGTTCGTGCAGCGTGACGGCATACTGAACAGAAGGCAGTTGAGGAGTCCCTGTGGCAGTCGATCCCATTTCTGCTGTAAGGTAGTTTGCAACTCCGGGATGGTTCTCAGAACGGGATGACGAGATGAAATTGCCGTCCTAATAGCGTCCCAGTCCCAGTCATGCTCTATAGAGTTAAGGGCGTGAGATTCGGCATACTAATCTGTATCTTTCCAGGTAATTGTCAACCAGCTGAGTTCTATGTAGACGACCGTTGTCGTCCATTAACATGAACCCAGTACCAACTGCACCCCTAGAAAAGCGAACATAGGACTCTAAGATCCTTTCTGTTCCTCATAGCAGACAGGGAGGCCTTCGTTAAACATATGCAGGGGTGTGTGGCTGTATAACATAAAACCTTTACACCTGTACCGCAATAATCCTTTTACCTTACGAGGGAGGAGTTTTATCGTGTTCCAGGCTCTCTCCAGATACAGGTAGGCAGAGAATCAATGTCCAGGCTAATATGTGATATCTCGACTCATCTATAAAAAGCACTGTGTTCCACTGAAATCTAGTCCAAAGGGCATGTTGTCTGCACCATGTTAAACGCGCTTTCTTTTGCGCTTTTTTTTTTTTTTTTTTTTTTTTTTTTTTTTTTTTTGCTGCAGTGAGCGGGACGCAAACAGTGGGCCTTCTGGCATGCCGTGCTATCTCAGGAAGCCTTCGTGAAACTGTAGACCATGAAACTCGGGTTCCAGTGGCAGCATGCTGCTTTCGTGAGAGCTATAACAGTCCTGTGTCACCGTGCTGAAAGCGCCATATAACGATTCTTATTCGTCGTTGGGGTTACCGGTCGACCGTGTCCAGGTCTTCCCGATATGGATCCAGCGTCCTGAAACTGTGAAGGATACTGGGCGTTACATTGAGCCCTGGAACCACCTGCGCTTGTGATTGCCCTGATCCCAGTCTACCGACAATTATCCATCGCATTTAGTCATCCATACTTTCACGTGCTGCTCATTTGACCTGATACCTTATAAAATTGACCCAACTCTTGCGAGAATCACGGCGAATCGCCGAAA